TAGGAATACCCTACAATTTTGAAATTCACAAATTGATTAGGGTTTACATACCTTTTGATTATTGTTGTAAATAATCAATAAAAACCTTCTTGAACAAGCTCTAGAAAGCAAACACCATAAATCCCGTGCCTCTGATGACTCGCACCCAAAACCCTATAATGAAGAGGAGAGAGATGTGAGAGGAATAAATTTCGTTCATATGCTTCCTATGAAGGTCATGAACGAAAATTGATGGCCTTGGGTCCTATTTATAGTTAGGTAACTTGCAAGAAAAGCAAAATATAAATTGATTAAATAAAAGATTTAATCTTAATTCAAATCATTTCCTTTTATGCAACCAGTAGGCTTCTGAAAACCCTAGAAAGACTCTCAATTTCGTTCACCCTTGGATGATTCCAAAATTGCTTCTTTTGCTCAACTATTGAACAATTACAATTCACCCCTTGCACCTTTAATTAATTCCAATTAAACCCAAATTAATTTCAGATTAATAATTAATTAATAATTAATTTCTTATTAATTTATTAACCATATAAATTAATAAATCAATTATTTAACTATTGATCTCATCTTAATTTATTAACCACATAACAAATTAACATATTAATTATCTATTCCCAATTAATATATTTTTTTATAAAAACGGATTTGTATATATTTATATACTTAATAAATACCTATTTTTATAACTAGATATTTCATATACAAAAAACTTTTTTAAAAAAAGTTTTTATATAGAAAATATAAGATTTTTATGTGAAAATACGTTTTTTTGTATAAATATGATTTTATAAAGAAAAAACATATTAGAAACAATTCTTTGAGAAAAAAAATTGTAAAAAAAACTAATGTTAGGATGAATTCATAATAAAATTCTAAAATTTGGGCAAAAAGGGTCAAGTTTGGACCAAATTTGTACCAAAAATTAAAATCTGTGCCAAAAGTGTAAATTTTGGACCAAATTTGTAATAACTTTTGAAACGTGGGCCAAAAATGTAAATTTTGAAAGTTGGATGACCTGTTGACCGGGTCAAAGGGTTAAATTGAATACGATTACCGGTATTTGGGACTTAATTGAATAAAAAAAATATATAGGGACTAAATCGATTATGAGGCCAATATATAGAGACTTTATTGCAGTTTTCCCAATATATATTCACAAAACATCTCTCTCTCTCCGAATATTATTTCTAACTATTTCTGGTTATGAGGGCAACCCAAAAAAATTTAGCTTCTATTTTTAAGTTTATATCAATTTAGTTATGAGCTTAGACACCTTAATCCAACACAACGACCATACTATCAAACAAACTTTAGAGAACAACAATAATAAGTACGGGCATCGTTTCTATATATTTCAAAAAAAATATTAGTTGTTTCGTCTAAAGCCATGTAGTACTTTTGGAGAACTACAATACTAAGTACTAACAACTGTATAAATGTGATTATTATAATTTTTTTGGTCATGCTAATGTATTTTGCTTGGCCTTTAAACAAATATAACATAACTCAAATGTATATGTTAGCCTCTTTTAATGTTATATAAAAAACGACAAATTATGTCGAACTTGTATGTCACAAAAAGCATTGCTTAAACTTTCTTGCAACATGTGATTTTAAACCCTTAGCTATAAACATTTTACATTTTTGTTTCACAAACATATAGTTAGCCTCTAGACACCACAAAACTTGCCAATTTAATTTGAAATGGATGGAGTTCATTTAACGAAAATATTTTAGGGATAATGACTTAAAAGGGTAATATATTTTTTGATTTGTACACATTTGGTCATTAAGGTTTTTTTTCGTTCACATTTACCCATTCAACTTGTTAAAATGTATACATTCAGTCCTTATGACCGGCTACTCCAGGTTAGCCGGTAAAAATGACTTAATAAGGTGATATATTTCTCACTTTGTACACATTTAGTCTTTAATATTTTTGTACACATTTAGTCCTTAATATTTTTTTTGTTGCAAAATAAGTCATTTTTGTTTTTTGTACTCATTCAGTACTTATGAATGATTTTTTTAGGTTTTTCTTACGATATCTTACGTGATACAATCATTAATGAGATGTTTGGGGCTTTTGATGCTTATATCCATCGCAATCTCGACTCCTTGGTTGCTTAGGACATAGGTTCTGAACGTCATAACTTTTTCATATGATCTCAGATTTAACGATCTTTATATCCATGCGTTCGTATTTTTACAACTTTCGTTTAGATTACTCTCGTTAAAAAGTAATATATTTTTATTTACAATCTTTATATCCATACGTTTTTTATGAATGCATGTATGTATGTTATTTTTTTAAAAAAAATCATAAGTAAAAATATATTACATTTTAACGGGAGTAATCTTAATGAAAGTTGCAATAGACTCGAAAAACGAACATGTGGATATAAAGATCGTTAAAATCTGATATCGTATGTAGAAGTTACGATGTTTAGACCACAAAACCTAAGCCAAACCACAAGACCTACGCAACCAAGCAGTCGAGATCGCGATGAGCATAAGCATCAACAACCCCAAACACCTCATCAATGATTGTCCCACGTAAGATGTCGTGAGAAAAATCTAAAAAAACATTCATAAGTACTGAATGAGTACAATAATAAAAATGATTTATTTTGCAACAAAAAAATATTAAGGACTAAATGTATACAAAAATATTAATGACTAAATGTATACAAAATCTACATCCTCTAATAAATAAAACATTTAAATGCCATATGTCCCATTTTTAAATAGGCTAATTGACACGTGGCATTAAGAAATTTCTAATTTTCGAATTTCTTTTTTTGGTATTTCCTTATTTTCCGGAAAGTATTTATAAGGAATTCAAAATTCAAGTTTCCATTTTTTTTGGTAATCTTAAAAATCATTCATTTAAAATTTTGAAAAACATTCCTAATAACATAAATATTCAAAAAATTAATAAGTATTTATAAGGAAATTTCAATTTTTATTTTTTTAACTGGTAAACCATCCTTCATTTAAAAATTCGTAATTCCTTGTAAACCAATTTAATGCTTCTTATTTAAAGTTTGAATTTAGTCCCTATACTTTGTTAGTGTACCGACATAAGTCTGTATAGCTTTATTTTCCAATAACTTTTTACCCATGTAATTACTTTTTTTATCTTTAAATAATTATAAAAAATTATATTAGTTTACTTTCAATCACAAATACATTTACAGCTTTTTTTAACACAAAAAATTATTATTGTTAAATTTTAGTTTACAAAGTTAATGTTTCATCATTAACGTTTAATTTTTAAAAAATTTTATACATACAAAATGCTTAGTAATAATATAAAATAACAATGACTTTATCATATATTTATCTATACACTTTTTATATAGTACATATTCCTTTTATAAATTGTCTTTAACACCTTTGGACGTCAAAATTCCTTTCAAATTGAAAATGAGACAATTTTCGTTGACTGTTAGTTTTGTTATGACCATAAATAAAAGTCAATGTCAATCGATGTCAAAGGTTGATTTTTTTTTACAAGAACCAATTTTCTCACACGGACAGTTATATGTTGCTTTATCCAGAAAAATAAACATATAATGATTAAAGTTATTGATTTTAGATAAAAATTGTAATTTAACCAATAAAACGTCAAATAATAAACGTCAAATATCAAATGATATATACCAAGAAGTGTTTCAAAATTTAATTTAAAAGATTTTCTTTTTTTACTTATCAAATTCATCCGGCTTTACTTACAATCTGAAATATATTGCTTTTTATTATGTTAACATTTAATCTTATTTTTGTCTATATAATAAAAATTTTGAACATACCTACCGTAGTTTCTACGAGTTATAACCTAGTAAGAAATATATTAAGGACTAAATGTTATTTTTCTCCGCTAACCTGAAGTAACCGGTTATAAGGACTGAATGCATACAATTTAACAAGTTGAAGAGGTAAATATTGACGATGGCAAAATATATACAAATTAAAAAATATATTTTATTTTTTGTATATTGAGCGGTATTCAAAGAACCTTTAAAAATGTTAGAAGAAAAAACATACTTCTCGTCTCAATTGAACCGAATTGGTTTCATTTTTACTTTTTAGTTTAAATTTAAATTTATAACAAAAAACAAGAAACCCACGAAACTCAAAGTTGAAAAATCGCATAGAAACAAAACAACCAATATCGAACCAAACCACGAAAAGCCCTAGAGACTAGAGAGTAGAGAATGGACCATCTTCAACCATCCACCAACAATCCTCTTCAACTCGGCCCCCCTAATCCAACTCCGACAACCTCCGCCGCAGCAAGGAAGAAGAACCGACACACCAAAGTGAACGGAAGAGGTCTCAGAGTCAGAGTTCCCGCGCTCTGCGCCGCTCGCATCTTCCAACTCACCCGGGAACTCGGCCACCGCTCCGACGGCCAAACCATCGAATGGCTCCTCCACCATGTTGACCCCTCTCTCTTTCCCACTTCCTCCAGAGATACCGCGGTGGCGCCGGAGAATCAACGGACGTCGGAGCTCGACCTGTTCCCGAATTTGTCGTTTACGTCGCTGCTGATGCAAGTCGAAGAAGATGAGATAAAGACGAAAAGGAAGATTTGAGGGTTGGCCGACGGTGGGCCATGGAAAAATTGTAAAATCTATGCTCTTTTGGTAATTCTCTTTTTCCAGATCAAGGATTCTCAGATTCAGAGAAATGATGTTATAACAACCTGTACGTGATGCTCTCATAGTTGTACAGTGATCTGGATTTGTCTATTTTAGTTATGAAAAAAGTGGGCCTTCCTTGCGGTTTGACTTAATGTTTGACCGACCCGACCCCATTAGCAGTAAGGGAACACCATCGATGTAACTTGTATCATATGCATCAGATTATGTACTTTCTTTGGTTTAAGCTTTTTGGTTTTGTTCTCGTTGGAATGTCAACGGATTATTTTCTCTTTGACTTTTTAAGTCAAAGACTTGTGAGATTCTTGTTTAATAATAGGAACGAAGCAATAGCAATTAACAAGGAGTAAAAGTAAAAGTATATTATTATTTCACAAGAATGTTTAATGATATAATAAGCTGGAAGAGAGTAGAGAGTTGCAATAACCACTCAAATCATCATCTTCCACATCAGTTCTTCATGGTCTCATATTCGGGATATCTGGATATAAAATACGTACAAAATTAGACTAATTTTGTATTTAAAATTTAAATTAACAAGTTCAATCTTTACCTTCCACAGGATATATTGAATTGTAATGAACCTCAGCCCAAAAGCTCAAGAAAATTACTGCAATAAATAAATTAATCCCATGAATTCAAATTTAAATTAGATTACGTTTAATTATATTATATAATATACCTCGATTTGACCTTTGAACACTCGGAACAATCTCGATATAACATGTGTCCTTAAATGATGTGATGACAAAAACTTTGATGCCATACTGCAAACATAAGAACAATATGAAATTATGAATTAGACAAGACTGCATCTCATTTTTTATTTTACAAATAACAAAATTAAATTAAGTTGCATTTTTTTTTTATACCAAATCAGCAGCAGCCTGCAAAGTGACATGATCACCCCATTCACCAACCCTTAAAAAATTAAAATCCACATAGATCAGAAACATAAAGTACGATGATATATCAGGAAAAAAGTGTTGCTAAAGTAACAGAAAAATACTTGGCCATATTCTTTAAGTAATCATCATAAACCATAGGGACATATCCCTCGTATATATCTGCGTGTAATTTAAGCTTTTTGAAAAAAAAAATAAAAATAGAATCAGAATTCGAAAAAGAAATACAAGCTTCATGGAAATAATTATATAAAAAATAACATTTTTTAGACTAACCTGATTTACAATTTGTTGTCTCACAAATTGATGGTGTTCAGTTGTACGATAAACTTGATCTGACAGGGCTCGAAACTAAAAAAATGAAATATATAATTTTGTTCATGCTTTATTTATATATTTGAGAAACAAAATATCATAGATTGAAAAAATTCACCTGACAATTTCCATCCCCTTGAACTTTAGACTCTACTAATTGATATAACTGCAGCCTGTAAAAGCAAAAAGGTATTTAAGCATTTTGCTACTAAAAGACTATCAAAAAATATTTATGATATAGTGTAAATACCTGTCGAGTAGCCTTTGATGATCTAAAGTTGCCTCATCTAAGGAAGGAATTTCTCCATTGACTTTGGGAACATGCTACAGAAATCCAGCAGCAAGTTTTTATTTATTTATTTATTTAATTCATAAAAACATAATAATTGATAAATGATGAATACGAGACTTACAGGAACAGAAGCCATCTGATTCAACCTCTTGCCTACTTCATCATCACTCAACTCCAATGAGTAAGACAATTCCTCCCCATAGTCAAACTGCCTTGTAGGGCTATCATTTGTGTTATCATCATCATCATCATCATCATCTTCTATAGATAAAGTATATAAACATCAGAAAAGAAGTTAAATAAGAGAAAGTTTGTAGATTTATTACCAAGACTGTAGTTTGCCATAGACTGATTGAGTGAATCTTGTAGATAAAATGATGATTGTGAATGATCAATTTCTTCACAAGAAGGTGTAGACGCTTCTGCAACCAAAAAAGGAGATGTGTTTTCTTGAAGGGCAAGTTTGTCATTTTCTGTGGTGATGCATTCCGTGTGATACCTGGCTTCTTCTCTAGAATACTGATCATGATAACAATCTGTGTAATTTTGTGGACCATATCCGCAATATGGCCCACCATCAAACAGCTGGAGACCCCACCGAACAACATCGGGATCTTGACCATAAGTAAACATTTTGGTAAAATCTGAATTGTGATTGTTTAATTCATAGTTTTCCAGCTGCAAAGATAAGATAATTTTGACAAAATATGTGGTTTAGAAGAGAGAAAAATAGCCTTATGCAAAGAAAGCTACATAATATTATATAGACTAGTGGTCCCTAGAAAGATTAGATAATTGATAATAGACTTATTATGTGGCTAAACTTGAACAAAATAACTGAATCTCTTTATTGAGAGACGTATGTTAAAGGAAAATGTGCCTCTTATACTTATTCTTGAGAATGGAGTAGTAATTAAACGATAAGATTGTCCAATCATGGTTAGGAGTGGGGTTATCCAAGAGTATATTTAAGTCAGGATCATGGAACCCTCATTATCGTTATCATGCATCATGAATCATGACTGTTTTAGATGATAAGATTGTGCAAGTGGCATGCCTCATAGAAGTGTCGTGACATGCAAGAATGTGTCTATGGTGGATTGGTGGTTGTTATCTTCTTGTCATAGAAGTGATAAACGTAACAGCAGTAAAGGGGGAAGTGAACCTATAAAACAATAAAACCAGTAAGAATATGGATTCACTTACCTGATTCTTACTAGTCAAACAAGCTCTTTTATGCAGCAAATGGTTGTTCGTGGAAGTGACAATGCCGAAGTTAGAATCTTATGAACTACAAAAACTACTTAAATTAGGTGTCGTGTCCCTTTCCCTTTCCCTTTTCCCCCCAGATTTGATGCAACATTGTAATTGAATAGCTGCTATTTCATAAAGTTAAAAGTGTATAAACCTAAAAAAGTTCAAAAAGTATTCAATACAACCTGGAACGTATGGACAAACTGATTCAATTAACAATAACGAATAAACGATCGAGATGCATGTGCGATTGGAAGGCTCTTGAGTGCAATTTAGAACGTATGAGCTCACTAATTCGATTGAAAAACTATAAGCATCAAAGAATTAACAGATACTTGTGTGATTTAAGGCATTGCAGCATTTACCTAACAAGTGAATTTGAGACAATGAAAAGCAATCAGAATTCAAGGAAAAACAGTGAAGAGATCGAAAAGCTCATCCACATAAAATAAGTGCGATTGGGTTATGGATTAGATGCATTGGTAGGAATTTACCTTGGATTGGTGTCCGATTGATATTTTATTGCAGATCGACAAAGTGTCCCTTCAAAAGCGGAATCATCAAACTTTGAACATCTCTATAGTGTTTGGCTGTTCGGAAGTGGAATACTCACCCGAGTCGCTTTTTGGGACAATTGTTATTCAATTTTATTTTTAATAACCAAAATCGTTTTCATAAATATGTTTTATTTTGAGATTTGGCCAACTAAATCTATTAGATTTAATTCAATTATTGGAAGAAAACATAAGGTGTTTTCTTTTAACAAATTTATGTTTTCTGAAAGTGTATCCAAAACAACATTTAATGGGACATGATGTGCATTTATAATTAAATAAGAATTGCTTTTTAAGTAGGGATCAAATTTCATTATGTTATGCCAAGAAAACATTAGAAAAATATAAAACGACAGAAATATTTAATGTGGTTCGGTCGACAGACAAAACAAGATAATTCTTCTATTATTAGACTGTTTCAAAATAATTACAAATAAAGCACAACTACGAATATTAATAGTTGTAACCCTCAATAATTAAACAAATTCATACTATAGGGGACCCCCACTTATCTCGTCGATATATGGTGTTGGGTTTCTTCATTTTAGGATCGAGTTTCTTCATTTTCTTTTAGATCGGGTTATCCATTCGGGTCATCAAATTCCAAGTCACACATTAACACAATATATTGAGTTTAACTTTAAGTAATTGAATTCATTGTTTAAACTAATAATATAAACATATAAATCAAAATTTAAAGGGTAAGTGAGTATGTCGTGTAGAACAAAAATTGATTGGAGACATTTCGTTTACGTGCAATTTACTTGATTAAACTTAGTATTGTATATAGTTAAATATGACAAAATTGGTTTATTGGTTTATTATAAATAGAAATGACAAGATAAGAACAATGAGACTCAAAGACATAATCACGTCTACTTTGACGTGTTAAAGTGTCTAAGATATTCAACGGACAAATGCTACATCAAGTTTGGTGTAGAAAACGATATTCCAAAATATGGTTTAACCAAATATATGCTTCTTTCCAATATATGTGTTGGATTTTCAAACCAAAATTAATTCGGCACGCTAATAATAGGGTGACCATATATGAAGTCTATGTTCTTAAATAATAAATACACATTGAAAAAGGAACATAGATAGATTTGGGAGCATCTCTTGGACAAATTAAAAATTCGGTTACAACCTGTCATATTTAAGGAAAAATATGACAAATTTAGTTTCGTTGATCTTTACTTTCCTATAATTATTTATAACGTTTGAAAATTGCTATTTCATCATCCTGTTTTATGAGTACTGTGTATATAGTAATAGTAAGAATATACCATCCTCTTTTGTTGCTATTTCATTATAAAAGAAACATTGCATATCCAAACGCTAAAAACATGATTGCAACTTCATTCTTCAAGTAGCAAAAATTACACAAAACTGTTTTAAAATGCACATCCAAACACCCCCTTTCACAAAACTAAACTTTAAAAATGTAAAACTTGATTGTGCATCACTTCCAAACCATATCACCCATGAACTGGAGAGCTGGAATTCCCCTTATTTCCACATCAACCAAAGGCGCTTCAATTAGATCTAAACTACCCAATTCTGGATCCTTTTGGATCATATCAATTGCACGCATTTGATCCTGTCACACACACAATCATACATTATAAAGGGGGTCAAATTCAAAGGTTTGAAATAAATGTAACTCATATAGCTATTACCTTTCTTTTCATTGAGCAAAATTTGCACTCTGTTGAAGATGGAGGTAAGATTTGATTAACAATAAGTTTGTTTACAGGGACATTTTCTTTCTTCAATGATGCATGTAGCCTTGATGATTCTTTAACTGCCATAACCTGCCATCACAGTTAGTAAAACATCAACTTACATTTGGAATCACAATGTCAAGATTCAAGAATCACATGAGTTAGGGAATTACAGTAGGGATAGTCACAATCACAAATTCTGTAGTCTTTGAGTCACGAAAAAGATCTCTCATTTTTGCCATCTTCTCCCTCAACTCTTCTAACTTGTCAGTGTATTAAAAAAAAAAAAACAAATAGCTGTTTATGTGGTTTTTCACACTAGAGTGAAACAAAAGGTTTAACTTATATACTCAATACTTACAGTGCCTTCCAAAAGTTTTGGTTGCTCTTTCCCAAATACGGATTTGATGGCAGAAGTTGCTGAAGCAATCTTTTTTTTCATCTGACAAGTGTATACAACTATAACTAATTACTTGGATTCAAAATTAGGGTTCTTGGGTAAGAGGTGAAGATTAATATATGTAGCATACCTTCATTAATTTTCCTATGGATGCATCCATGAAGTCTGGCAAAGACAAAAGCCTAAGTGTATGACCCTGAAACAAGTATTTGGATGATAATCAAGACATAGAACATTACAATCTGTTGAATTTTAACAGATGCAATTATGTTGCTTACTGTAGGTGCAGTGTCAAAGACTATCCTTGTAAACATACTATAATCTGGTGAATCTACAAACTCCATTATCTGTAAAGATTCATTCTTGATATGTGTAATGTAAATATGTATTATCAAGAAGTTCCAAAAAGTACTCACCTTTGATATTGCAATAGCTTCATCAAAACCTGGAGGAGGTGTATCCAAAAGCTCTGCCAATTTCAATTCTCCCAACTACAAAGTCAAAAAGTCAAAGGCACAACAACTTTCATCATAAAGAATACAAGAAAGAAAGAATGTGTATACTCTATACCTGCTCAGCTACCATTCCAAGGCCCATGCTATCCATGAAATCCTTTACACCAGCACCACCATTGTTTTGTGATGCACTACGGAAATCCTCCTTGGTTTTTTCCAGATTAATCTATCAAGAACTCATAATCGAATATATTAGCATACAATTAGGTATCATGTGGATGTGAAAGCATTGTTTAGGAATTGGTAGTACCTCGAGTCCAAATAATGGAGAATCCAATCCTTGAATTGGAACTAGTGTCCCACCAGTCAAATCCTAGATATGCATGTATCTTGCAGTAAATCAAACGCATTTTCTCCAAATTGGTTATGGATAATCTCATAATCCAATGAAGATATAGACTTTTGAAGCCTTTGCCCATCATAGATGTAATATACAAAGTGGATACCTGATCGAAGGAATCACTTAAAGAGTGAGCAGGGTCTGTAGAAAGTACAATGGTGGGATGGCCGTGATTTGCAAACTTTACAGCAAGAGATGCGGCGCAACTTGTCTTTCCAACACCTCCTTTCCCACCCAACATGTAGTACTTCCTCTGATTACCCATAGTCATCTTATCGAAAAGGGAAACAGAGTTGGCATCACTTGCGAATGTTCTTGTTGCTGCAGAAGAGATATGCATATTGTTTGAAATACATATAACAGTTTCAAATTTTATTGAGTTTTGAGAGTGATCGACGTTTTGAACCATAATGGCGGTCATATTGTTATAAACTAACCCTAATCCCTCTCTTAGAAGACATAAAAGAGGTCGAATCCGCAATCTTATAATCTATTTTCACTTTTATTCCAAGATAAAAATTCCAATCCAACAAAGCACAGCTTAAACTGACGAAGCTGATGAAAAAATGATCCTTGAGGGAACCGAATAATCAAGCTGACATATGTTTTGCAGTTGTGATAAAGAGAAATAGAAATAGCAAGGCACCTTGAAAAGGAGGTTTTAGCAGTGTTTTAGTGCTAATTGTAGTAAAGCAGCCTCCGGTAGCTTGAAGAAAGAGAGACGAACGGGTTCCACATTTGGCGATGCGACAAAGCAGAGTGTAGTTCGCCATTGTTGCATTGCAGATTTGCAGCTGTGAAGAAAGCGAGTAATAACAGGAAATTAAAACAAAAGGACCGGGCTCTTTAGGGCTTTGTTTGACTTTGGTTTCCGAAATTGGGCCATTGGATTATATTCTTGTAGCCCATTTCTGAAATTCCAAATTTGATTATATTACTTGTGTTTATGTGTTTATTCGTTATGTTTGTTTTATCTTCATAATAAAAGAACATAAACACAAATATGTGATCATGACTAGGGGTGTATATGGGGCGGTTTGGTTCGGTTATTGGTCAAAACCGAGCCATAACCATAACCATTGGTTAATGTATTTCGATAACCATTGGGTAGTGGTTAATATTGGTTTTGGTTAATGGTTTTAGTTGGTTAAAGGTTATGGTTAGTGGTTAATATCGATTAACCATAATGGTCAAAGATGACATAAAAATAAAAATACTTTTTCTATAAAAATTGAAAAACATAAAGTTCATTCTTATAAAAAATGAATGATTGTGTATATATAATTGTATTAATAGAAGATTACATATCCTATCTAATTCCAAATAACTATCCTTTATGTTTTCAATTCCTAATTTAATTACATACCATATATTTAATATTATATTATATTAAAAACATTTATTAATATTATTGGTTCGGTTCGATTTATAGTGGTTCGGTTTTAGATGAAAACCATAACCGAACCATATGTATTCGGTTAATAAAAATTAGAAACCACACCATATATTTTAGTAATTGTTCGGTTATAATGGTTCGGTTATATCGAGTAATTTGGTTATGTTTCGGTTTTTTGGTTAATATACTCGCCCCTAATCATGACTCATCGGCTTGATGGATAAGAAAAAAATATAAACGAAAATTCAAAGAATCGAGAAAAGATGTAAATAAATAAAGTATTTTTTGGTTTGTTTCAAGGTACCAAAAGTTGTGTTTTACATGAAATGAATATGATCGTCGATTTGTTTTTTTTGAACATGGGCTAGTAGTTACATTCATATAGACTGATTTGAGATTTTGATTAAAGGTTACACATGGTAAGTTAAAAAAAATACAAATCCAATAACATTTCAATTTAACTGGAAATTCACTTTAAGATTAACATGCATTGCTATATTATCTACTAGTTTATAACCCGTGGGAACCACAAGTTATAAAATTAATTAAACTTTCATAATAAAAATTTATAATTATTAATCAATTATTTTAAATAAATCATTTTAAATAAATTATTAATTAAGAGATATATCAAAATTTTAAAGTTATTATAACTTCAAATTTAACATATTATTAGAAAATGTAAATTTGAATTTTGAAAATGAGTTGCCTAATATATCTACATGACACATGACATAATATTAATGAAGAGTTGTATTAGAGTGACACTTATCACTTGTCAAAAAGAGATTAAAACTATTCATTTATTAGAATAGAGATTATCACCGTATAAATAAGTATATATTAGTAGTTGAATATATTTATGTAATTATGTGTTTGGAGTAAACTTTAATATGAACAATACTCTTTAGTTATATTATAAGCATAAGAATAAACAACTAAACAAAACTTGTTATTACAGAAAATGAATTCGGATGAGCACAAAGAAACACATTCAACACATCCATAAAAATATGCTTTCTTTCCTCATGGACAAGGCCGATCTAATAATTTTGTAGGCCATGTGTGACATATAAAAATGGAACCTTAAATATAATTTGAAATATAATTTGTTATATATAAGCAAAAATCATTAATACTATGATAAGATTCAACACCTAATTAATTATATTTAGTGACTAGTATAAAAAATGTCCATTTACAAATAATCAACGGCGGAACCATAACAAAAGTCAACTGCTCCCAATGGATTGGCAACTGATTACTGACGATTAGCGACGGAGTTACAATAGATATTTTGGCTCGCCTTGACGGAGTAGGGTTGTCCCATATACTTATAGTTGGCGATTATCAATGAGAAAAGCAAACATATAATTAAACATTTAAACTTATATGTATAATAATCATAACATTATGGCAGAATTTCAAATATATTACGCATTATAAAACATCACAGACATACTTGATAGAATGCAAACAAAAAAAATCTCATACATTTTAGCAAAACCGTGGTCAATATACTGTTACCAAAATAATTTTTATGAGCAAAATATGAATTTCACTGTTTTGAGGCCAAAATATGTTTAAAATGTCATATGGTATCAACTCAGTAGCTAAAATAATATCTTATGAAGTTCAATGGCCTTTTTCTAATAACCAAACTATTTTTGTTCCTATTGTTAACATTATATGTCAACAAAACTTTTTTACGGCAAAAAACAAACACCACTTTCAGGGGCAGACGCACGAATACATAGTAGGTGTTGCCGAGATTAAATAAATGTTGCCGATACATGAAAAATAGGCAAAAAAATCGAAATTTTTTCCACTGCGGACAGGAAAAACAGGTGTTGCCGGTGCCACACCGGGACCTGCCTAAAACCGCCCTTGACCACCTTTTATATATATATATATATATATATATATATATATATATATATATATATATATATATATACACACACTATGTTACAATCCGTACAAACCACGTGTAAGAAAAAAAATATTGGTAATTAAAAATAGTTATGAAACATCAAATTTATAAAGATTTATTAAATAAATATGATATAAGTTTTGTTTGTATTTTTATATTGATTATTTAAAATTAATATATGAAATAGATATATGTGACTCATATACATTAAATAAAGTCTATACCAATATACCTATATATGAATAACACATACAACGCTTTAGCCTAACAATATCAGAAGTTGACATATAGTTGCCCCTCAAACAAAGATTGAGAGTTCAAGTATGGTTTGAAAGGAAAAATGTATAATAAGAGTGGTATAGTGGATGCATGTGTAGCCGTTCTAAAAAAAAGAATAATACATACATTATTATTAACCTAATAACCTTTATGTCTATTATATCCTTCAAAACCTCTTTGGAACACACAAACAATAACCTAATAACACACAAAAAAACAAATCAATATTAAATTGCAGTCACGTGATGCCACAACTTCCCAACAATCATTAGTACAACTATTAGTGCTAAAAAGCAAAAAATAAAAAATAAAAAAATAAAAAGTAAAAATAAAATAACATAAATGCGAAAAAATATCCATTTTGCACCGTTCGTTAAGGGATGTGAACATTTCTTGATAACAAAGATAATAAATATTAATAGTTTTCAAAACATTGCTAATTTATATATCAAATTTTTGAAAAAAAAAAATTAGACTTTGACATTAAAGGGTTCGATTCAATTTGTTTTATCGTCCATTCAACTGATGTTTTCTCACCAAGCCCTCCCTAAATTACAACCACCCATTGGTTAACCGCATCATGTACTTGATAGCCTTTCCTAGCAAAAGAATCAAACTCACATACTTACAAGTTTTACACATAACAACAATATACTTGCAATACCTTACCCAAAATAGCAATGTACTTTGTTAATATAGAGAAATTATAAAAGTGGATCAACAAAAGCTGCAATTCTAAAAGAAGTGGATTAAAAATAATTCTATAGAAGCTGCAAAATAACACAAATTTAAGCTCCATGTCAATTTCCAAATTTGACCAATTACACTATTGGTGGTCATAGTGCTAAATTTGAAAAAAAAAAAAGTGGTCAATTTGTTCAATAGGACCACCCATTATCTATTTTTTTTAATTATCCCCAAACAAAAATGTAAAATGACTATTTTCTAAAATTCTACCCAAAAACAATATTCACCGTCTGTTGAGAAAACACTTTTCAAAATTCGAGCATTTAACCAATAAAGAAATAAGGCCCATCATTCTAATAACCAAAAAACTCTACCCTTTAGACAATCAAATGTAACCTAAAATCCTTAGATCTTCATATAAACAATACCCGCAAATCCCATCAACCTAAAATCCTTAGATCTTCATATAAACAATACCCGCAAATCCCATCAGTAGCAAAGAAGTTGGTAATGTCATTTCTTGAATGGGTAGACAGGCTACAAATAATGTTCTTTGGGGCCTGGACGATATAAACATAGTGGTACTGGTTATATAAACATCAAATGATGAAACTAAAGATGGAGTTCAAAAAATCAATCTAAGATCTGTAAAATCAAACATGAAATATGGGAAAATAGTATAAAAATTAAATAAACTACAATTTGTCACACATGAACAAATCTAGAAAAATAAATAAATGGAAAGGTTATAAAAACAATATAGATAGCTATTAAATGCTCGGAATAGCAACATACATTCCATAAAATGCTTGTCATAGCATCATACTTTCAAAATCAAGCATGTAAATAGGTAAAATATTATCACTTTGACACAATGACACATTACAAACATACACACACTTTGACGCACTTATTTTTACGATTCACGAGTGATTCGGCTGAGTTTTTTTCTATTTTATTATATTATAATAATCATGAAACACATAATATTCACATAATTCTTCTTTATTACATCAATTATGTCACAATTGTTGACCCTAACTATTACATAATCTTATTAATGCCTAGCGAGAAACACGACCATTACAAGAACTAATTTGCTATATATGTTTTTCTCAAATATTGAACAATCAATTGTGTTTTATTGACATGGATTTATGTATCTAAATAAATTTTAGATGGAAGAAAAGAATATTTCTAAATTTCCACATAATTTAATTTGGGAAAATTTGTTTGTAGGTGGAGAAAATGGAGGAAATCGCAAAACGAAAAGCCAAAGAAGGGTGAATAAGATTCATAATTGACAATAGATGTTAAGTTGATGTAAAATAACCATTTTGCCTTGAAATGACATTTGTTCACATTTTTTTCCCTATGGTGGTTCATGTAACATGACCATTTTGCCCCTAAAATCACATATGGTAACACTTTTTGTCCCGTGTGTTAACTTTAATTAGTTAGATTTTTTAAATTATAGTGATTTTATAGGAAAATA